CTCATGATAGGCTATTTAAGAAAAATTAGTATGTCTATATCACAGACAAAAACTATGCATTTCCACTCCACATTAATTGAAACAATCATCAGAAACATAAAATCGACACTAGAATTCAATAAAATAATGAACCCTTACATTTACCAGGCTTTCTACAACATCCTTTCCCATCCCATCTCTCTGTTATGGGGGAAATAAATGCATAAAAATCATGTCTGATTGTGGGAGCTTTCAATCTAGTTAGGACTCAAACAAGAATGACCTACCAGAGGAACTTCAGATTGTGACACAAGACTTAAAGAACAGATCAGGACATGAGAATGAATGGCACAAAACAGAATAGGACTGCTTACTCAATGGGTGGGATAGACAGTGGGCACTGTGGGGGTCTTTTCAGAAGTGGCCAGTTTTGAGCACAACCTTGATGAATAGATAGACTTGAGTAGATAGAAAGGAGGGGAGATATGTCAAAAACATAAAGGCAAGAGTGCAAAGGGCACTCTTAAGAGGCAGCTCATACATGGCTTTGTTGGAGCCAGGGGTTCATGGGGCAAGTGATAGGAGAAGTTGGAAAGGTGAACTAGGATGTCAGTGAAGGATTTTGGATGTGGGTCAATGAATCTGGGTTCCACCACCTAGTGAAGATGGAATCATCAAAGGCCTTGAGGAAAGGAATACATGTTAAAGCAGGTTTGGGGAAAGATTAAGGTCATTCTATCATAACATAGAAGAGACATGAAAAGAGAAACATTTGGAAGGCAGGGGCTGTAGGTTTCACATGGTAAGACACATCTTATGAGTAGTCTTCGGAACTCTGGAGCCATGGATTTTCTCTCTCATGTCTCAAGGTGGTCACATTGGTCCCCCTGTGTCTTGAATCAGTAATGTTTCTTCTTTCTCTTGCATCCTTAGTCTCTCAAGATGTCAAGCATGCTCTGGAGACAAAATGACTAGACATGACGAGAGATTATAGGATAAGACAAACTACGCAATAGGATTTTTCCAGCTTCAGTTACTGACCTATTGCTGTTTGTTTTTCTTTTAAACCCAGACTATGGACAAGATGATATGCTTCTAAATGAGGGTACTGGAAGTTACCTCTGAGCCCCATCTCTGGTTAATTTTACACAATACTCAGTTTATAAGACAATTTCAATTGTTTCCTTAGTAAGTCATGGTGAGGAGAAAGCACTTAATGTCTCACTAAGGTATTGGCAACAATGCAATTTCACCTTCCACTTAAGCAAGCTACTTTGGAGACACTTCTGGTTTTCATTTCTCTTTGCCTCTAACTCCAAGTAGTTTGTAACTTCTTCTTATATTCCAGCCATATCTGCCCCTTTAGCCACTTTCCCAGCTAAAATATCAGGTCACTTCCTGCCTGTTTTTTCTAGCTGAGTTTACAGCCGTCATCGTGAACCCACCATTTTCTTCTCTGCCTTTGTTACTTGTCTTATCTGACCCCAGTCACCCAACCCTGGGTTGGGTCCTCCCATTTTTCTCTCACTTAATAGATCTTCTGATGTTTGTAGACTATTTCTTATGCTTAGAAAGTGGGTGGTGATGGTTACCACATTTAGAGAAGAAGACTCAGCACTACAGGTGGTTGGAGCTGTGCAGTTCGTCCAGGACAGTAGACAAAAGAAGGAGAGGGGCATGCTTAACAGCCTGCTTTAAACAATCTAAGGAAAATAATTTTAATGGCTGTGAGGCTTAAAATAGGATACCTGAATATTTTTATACAATTGTGGTGAAGATTGCTAGTTGACCCCAGTTATTCACTTTTTTTCTCCTTAGGGTTAAAGAATATTTACCTGGGCACATGGTCACTCTGAAAAAAGATGCTTATCTTTGCAGCAGGCACCCCTGGGAACTTACTGTCATAAACTGGAATCTGTCAGGACCTTGGCTATGTATCCTGTAGCTAGAACACCTCTGCATGGTATGGCCTGCCACTGTGCCCTCTGCTGGCTGAGGAGGGTCCCCAGCACATCAGAAGGCCTCCAGCCTCACTCAGAGCAGGTCTGGAAAACCTCATAATCCAGAGCATGGCATGAGCTCCACTCACTAGTCTCCTCTGGTTGCTTTTCACTCTGTGTGGAGTTTGCCACTTGCAGGCAGTTGTAATTTTCACTCATCCTTGGTGCCCCCCTCCTTTTCCTACCCTATTCCCCTAGAGCCTCACTTTTATCCTGCCTCTTCCCCATCAGTCATGTTGCCCCAGGTCCTCACATTCTTTAAAGTGAAGTCCCTACAAAACACAGCTGTAGACCTTCCTCATGCTAGATCACAGTGCAGCTCATTTAATCATTTTGATATATTGTTGTGCTGGTAAGACTTCCCCTTCTGCATCAGGGGTGAAAGGATGGAGTTGAGGTGTGGAGAAGCATCATTAACAAAGGTCAAAGAGGGAGATAGTACAGGTCCAGCATAGCCCACTCTATCCTTTAGCCAGCACAAACAACGTTTGCTGGATTCTAGGCATGGGGGTGAGGAAAAGAAAAAAAAATAATCCTTGCTCACAGGAGCTAAAAAATTAGCAGAAGAGAACATCAGTAGAGATTATCAAAGTAAAGAGTGATACAAGATTGGATAGAAGTGAATATGAATGCCCTAGGATGACAGAGGAAAGGAAGCAAACACATGGTTGGAGGAGTTTCTGTGTTGAGAGCTGAAGCTGACTGACAGGTAACCAGGGGGTTTGCAAAGCTTTGGAAAAAAGACAGCCTGTGGTCTGTTTCATCTTCAGAGAACTAGGTGGCCCTGCTGGCCTGAAGACTAGATGAGAATGGACTAGGGGTGGGGGCAGGGGGCTGGAAAAGTGGCAGGGCTAGGTCTAGAAGGAAGGATCTGTTAAATAATTTCAGCAGAAGACCTGGAAGGGCTTTAGGCAGAAAAGGGACAACACAGGCATACGTTTTACAAAGCACATCTGGCTGCTGTACAGAGTTGACAAGTACAAAATGCAGACAGTGGTCTTTAGGGCTTTAGCAATCCTCAGGAGGCATCTGGAGGACCTGACCCAAGAAGAAGGTGTGGCTGGGATTTGACTGTGTGTGTGTGTGTGTGTGTGTGTGTGTGTGAGAGAGAGAGAGAGAGAGAGAGAGAGACAGAGAGAGAGAGAGAGACAGAGAAAGAGAAGATACACAGAAATCTATAGGACTTGCAACTGAGACAATGTGAGGAGGAGATGGAAGGGCTGTGACCTTCACCAACATGGGGAATCCACAAGAAGAAACATATCTTAGGAGAAAAATAAATATTTCAGTTTGAGACTTGTTGACTGGTTGGATTTGAACAGCTTGTGGGATATGGAAGTGTAATATCCATTGGTAGTTTGATGTTTGGGGTTTTAAGAGAGAAAGAGAGTGAGGACCAGAGTGAGAGCAGGGTAGAAATACTAAGGACTACTATTCAATCATACTTAAGAGAGGACAGGGGGAAGCACCCAGAAACTAGGCAAAGAGAGCAGGGAGCCAAGTCTAGGACCTTACGAATGAAAATATTTAGGGATGAGGAAAGGAAGACCACAAGGGAGCATTGGGAAGGAATAGAGAAGCCAATGGACAAGTAGGATGGCTGTCAGGGGCCCAGAAGGCAGCTGGCTCATGCCCTGAAGCCACAAAGATAAGAAATGAAGACGATCCTCTTGATGTGATGACTGGAAGGATAGTTGGGACATTGAGAGCACTGCAGGGAGGAGGGAGAAGGGGGATGCAGCCCCAGGTCTTAGCTCAGCAGCACCTGCTGGTCAGAGCATGTGCAAGTTCTGGGATCAGATTTTGGGACCTGGAAGCTATATGGATCCCAGCATGCTATTTAACCACTTAAGCTTTATTTCCCCTACTCTGTAAAATGACAATGTTGTAACTGTGTCCTGGGATCATTGTGAGAATTAAAATGAGGTTGTGCATAGAAAGAACCCAGCATAAAATGAGTGACTGTCGTTGCATAGGCCAAAGTCTTGGAGTCACCCTTTCTCTTTCACAACCCACCTCCAATCTGTAGGCACTTTCTGTCTGCTGGACCACCCCAAATACCACATATTCTGTATCTGACCACTCCTCATCCCCTCCACCCTGGTCCAAGCCACCCTCACCTCTCAGCCTAATTACTGCCATCACTTTTTAATGGTCTCCTTACTTCAACCTTTGCTCTCACCCCTGCCCTTGCTCTAACCCAGTGACCAGAGAGATTTTAAGTCAGACCACAAGTTCCCTCTACTAAACAGTCTCAGAGTAGGAGCAAAGTCCTTACAAGGGGCAGCAAGGCCCTATACCTCTTACATATCTCTCACTTCTTTCTCGCCTCACACACCACACTCCTCCCATACCACTCTTCCCAGCCACAAAGAAACTCACCCTGTAGACTCATCCTCTAGACTCAAGGCCTGGCCAGCTGTTCCCTGGGACTGCTGCCTGTTTCCCTCACTCACTTCTTTCTGGCCTTCACTTAAAATGTCACTGTCTCTCTGACCTTCCCTGGCCAACTTCCTGCACTCCTCAGATCATCTCTTGTATATTTCACTTAAGCTTTTAAGTTGTATTCGGGCATGTAAACTCTATGAGGGGCAGAGAATTTTTTTTTTTTTTTTTGCCAATTCTCCCCACATGGTTACTGCTCCATGGGACTACGCCTGGCACTACTAGTACATGCTCAAGAAAGATTTCACTTGATATATGATGGAAAGACAGGAACCATTAGTTTTATGTCTTCCGGTTTCCTCAACTGCGAATTTGGGGTATTAACTACTACCTGGCCTGCCTCCTCGGGTTGTTCCCAGAAGAGGATGCTGGAGCAAGGACTTCGAACAGCCAAACCTCACAGAAAACACTTCGCTGAAGGTGAGCTGCGCCTGGAGGCAGTGGAGGAACCCCACTCGCCGCACCCAAACCCGCCCACCCGCTTAGCCCCGCCCCGACGCCCGCACGCCCCGCCCATTCGGCCTCCACCCAGCCCCCGCCCGCCCCGCCAGCTCGGATGGGGCCCGCCGCGCCCGGCGCTAGGAGGCCTAGGGGGCGGTGCCTAGAGGCTTGCGGGAACACGGCGTCGGGGCCTCCAGACACAAAGAGCTGCCGGCAGGACGCAGGGTGCGTGCAGTGCGCGCGCCAGCGCCCTTGGCTCGCGCCAGTGTGTCCCAAGCGCGGGGGAGACCAGAGGCACCCACTGCCCAGGTGAGCTTGGCTGGGGCGGGGCTGTGGGGCCCGCGCCTCCGCGGCACGTGCGGCCCGCCCGGCTGCGAGCACCCTGGTTGGGGCCGCGGAGGAGAGAGGCCAGCGTCTCGCGGGCTGCGCCCCAGGCAGCGGGCTTGCGGGAACTAGCGGGGCCGGGGCCCTGCGCCTCTGAGCGGGGCGGGGTCGTAGGGAGAACCCTACGGTACCCCCCCGCCCTCGCCTCGGCGCCCGGAACCGGCTCCTTCGCGGGGTCCGGGTCCTCCCTTCCCCTCTGGGTAAGGGGCCCCAGGTTGGGTAAGTCTGACATGCTAGCCTCCTTTTTCCGTCACCTTGGAGGGCTGGTGCAGGGATCACTTTAAAAGAACGTATCCGCGGGAATCCCGCTGTTCCACCAAACCTTTGAAAACTAGGTTCTACAGTCGTTTCCGTTCCTGCAGTGTGCGTGGTCCTCGGAACGAGTTTTGCAGCTATTTGGCCCCTCTGCTGAAGTGGACGCTAACCTTCTGGCGAGCAGTCCGGCATCGGGGAGGGGGCAGTGGCCCTCACTGATGATACCAAGGTTAAACGGTGTAGCGAAAGCCGCGGCCACAACTGCAGCGCTGACTTTTCCTTCCCAGACGCGCAGCTGCCGGGTGCCCTGGCCCCTGGAACGCCCACAGCGCCGCCGTGTCCCTCAGCCTCTCCCATCACCTGCAGAGCTCGAGGCCTGGTTCCTCTGAGCAGGCCACGTCCTCCACAGAATGATCTCCTGTAGATAAGATTGCATCCTTCTATATAGGAAGTTTTTAGGATGTACCTTTCTTTTGTTGTATCGCGAGTTTGCGCTTGGGAAAACGGTTTGAAACACGCCATTGTCAGGGACTATAAAGGCTGTTGGAAATTTTATGTGTCCTACCAATTGTTTGGCAGGATCGTCCTTTTCCTCCCATTGGTGGGCTCAGTCACAAATCTCAGTAGGAGTCTGTCCAATCTCTTCTGGTGTTTCACACTCATAAATCATGCCCTGGAGACTTAGGCCAAGCCGTCCTACAGTGGGGGATGGGAATGGGGTCCAAAGAAAGAACTGTGGAGTTGGAGGGCTTGGAGAGGGTCAAGTGTTGCTCAAGGTTTCACCGCCAGCACTGTCAATAGGTGGGAGGAATTATGGGTGACCATGAGTTTTTCTTAAAGGCCTTTACCACGTTTTCCACATTGGACTTCGAAATACTTTTCAAAGCAGAAAAAAAAAAAAACAAAAAATTCAGTTAAAATTTGTTAAATAGGACGCTAAGCAGCCCCACAGTTTTATGAACTGTGTGCAAGAGTATGTATCCTAAAAGAAAAATGCTAAGGCAAAGAAGCAGTGTACCACTGTGCTGTGCCTTTTGTTTGGCTTACATACATATCATCTGTTGGTGGTTTAAACTGTTACAGATTGAACTAGCCTGTACTGGCGAATAGAAGTGGGTCTTCTGTGCTTACATATGTGTGTGTGTGTGTATCTATCTATCTATCTATCTATCTATATATATATAATTCAGATTCAATAAAAAAAAAGAGGATAATCATTTTTGCAGAATGAGAAAATAACAAGCCTTCTCCGAAGAACCTGAACTTCATGTAACTAACACCATCATATTAGAAAAAGAACATATCACAAAGGAAAAGTTAGGGTTTCAACATTTTTTAAGTTGTGGACTTTATATAATCTTTGCTGGAAAACCGTTTTTCTTTAAGTCCTATTTATCTCTCTACATTGTGATTTGCAGGGCTGCTCAGAGGTGACTTAACTGACACAGTCATTTGCCAACAGTATGTTGAAATCCCTTTTAGTGTTAGTGTGTCTTTTGTTCTGCTCCTTAGTCCTTATGAACATTTGGTGGTGAAAAAGAGTAATAGTAGAGTTGCAAAATTCTAACTAAGTATTCAAAGTATTCAGAGTATTCACCCTTTTATGGTGAGTGACTTTAAGTGCTGGTTGTGGAGGGTCATTTTGTGTGGGGGGGTGGAAGATGGAACATGTGGCGTTTGGGATTTGGGCATGTGAGAGGAGAGATCCCTCTAACCATATTCTTTCTACCTTGGACACTTACCTTTGGATTTTACTATGAACAGGTGGCTGCTAGATATCTCTCTCCCTCCCTGGCTCAAGAAAGGTCTATAATAAGGAGGCAAAAACAGTTTCCTGGCCTCACATTTTGAACTAGTAGTTTCAGAGGGGTAGTCAGGGGGAATTGTGTGGCTCCTGACTAGAAGGGGAACAGTGCCCTCTGACTTAGAAGGGCAACACTAAGGCCACATCCACTTTGCTCTTGATTCCATGGTCATTCTGTAACAGGTTGAGTGGCAGTGGCTGTAACTGAACTTTAGATTTGGGCTTAGCTCAGTCCTTGGCTTCAAGTACAAATTAAGAATTCAGGCTCAAGGCCAGATATTTGGTTAATCACAAGCAGGAGGCCAAAACTTTGGGACAGACTCTACCTGGAGCTGTTTGGAGGGCAGCAGTAGCAGAAGGCTTTCCATTCCCCATCCTTGGGTTAACCTTGAGCCTCCTGGTGAGACTTCTCCACTGAAGGATTCTAAATGTTGTATTTTGTTTGTTTGTTTTTGTGAACCCAGGAGTCTTTTGGGTGGTGTTTTGTGTTTTTAACATCTTGATGAAAGTTAGAGCATGCACCTGCTGCTGCCTAGTTGTACTCATCTGTTTCTCTGAACCCTGGGTTCTCTGAACCCTCTTTAACCCTTCCTTAAACTTTAAGAGATAATGGCTTCTTGTTTCTCAAAGACGGGTACATAGTCTCCCTTGAGTTGGAATCCTTGTTTTCTCAAATAAACATCCTCCAGGTAATTCTAATACACTCAAGTTTGAGAGGCACTGGTATATACCAGCTTTTGTGCATTGACTTGCTTTGTGTTTCATGAGAGGAAAGTAGCAGAACCTTTTATGATGTGACAGCGGCTCTTATAACCCAGTTATCTTATTTTGGGATCTTCTTTGTTTAATAAGTTAATATTTTGGTATTGGAACTTCTCAAAGTGGTTGTTTATTGTTATTGTTAAAGATCTGAAGGAAAATCTCTCTTGATAATGTCTAGTTTTTTCACTGAAGTGAAAACTTTTACATTTGTGGATGCGTATCAATTGAGATGTTTTTAGGTACCAGTGATGGAAAACCCAACTCATGTGAATGGAACTGGAGGGTATTATGCTAAGTGAAATAAGTCAGTCAGAAAAAGATATCATGTTTTCACTCATATGTGGAATTTGAGAAACTTAACAGAAGACCATAGGGGAAGGGAAGGAAAAATAAGTTACAGAGAGGGAGGCAAATCATAAGAGACTCTTAAATACAGAGAACAAACCGAGGGTTGATCGGAGGGTAGGAGAGGATGAGCACTGGGTGTTGTAAGTGATGAATCATGGGAATCTACTCCCAAAGCCAAGATTACACTGTATACCCTGTATGTTAGCTAACTTGACAATAAATTAGTTAAAAAAAAAAAAAAGAAAGAAAGAAAGAAAAAGAAAAGAAAACCCAACTCAGTCTTGGCTTAAACAGGTAGGAAAGTCCTGGAAGGAAAGTATAGGACTTCAGGATGAGTTGTTCCAGTGGCTGAATCAGCAACTGGGGGCCTAGGTTGCTCCTCTTTCACACATGTTGGTAGTGGCTGTTTTACATCTGAAGGAAGAGGGAGGTTGGTTTCTGTGTCTCTTCAAGAATAAGGAGTAACACATTCAGTAGCCTTCTGGACCATGGAACCAGTCATCAGCTGTAAGGGGGCTCACCTTGGTCTGTGACAGGCCTCATACTTCCCTGTTGCTACTCCAAGGAGGCAGGGTGCATGGGGGCTGTGGGAGGGCATTCTGTGGGTACCTAATCACTGGAGAGCTAGTGTAACTCACTGCACAGGTAGAGTATGTCCTCTGGACCCTCTGCATGGCTTGTGCATTGGTCATGCTGATGTCAGAAATGGATTGCTGGTCTCTTGGTGATTTGATTTTAAATTGAGCTCTTATTGTGTGCCGGCTCTGTTGTCTGCTTTTGGTAAATTCTTCCGTGTAGTGCTCACAGCAGTCTGCTGAGCTGGGACATGCTCTTGTCCCCATCTAGAAGACAGAGGCTTGCTACCTGCTATGTTCAGAATCACATGGCACTGAAGGGTGCACAGGGATCTAGACAGGCTCTCTGCAGATTCCATGCCTTCTAGCCTGTGAGATTTCCACCATATGTCACTGCCTGAGCAACGAGATCATTTCTGTACATGAAAAAGAAAGTCAGGAGTTTTCAGTGCTGATAAAAAACTGACTTCCACAATCTGTCTAGATATGTGAGGTGAGGGGGAGGTAAGGGAATTAGCAAGTCAAATTCCATTTGTAAGCAAGAGTTGTGCTTTGCATTGGTGGGCACCATGTGTGTGCATGCTCATGGAAATAAATTTAAAAAGATGAGTCTGATGTTGGGATTGGGAGTGTAGCCACCATGTGGTCCTGCCAGGGCAACTTCCTAGGAGCGCCGTTCACGCCAGGGGCCTGTGGAGTCTCCTTCAGGGTCACAGATGGCATAAAGCCATAAACACAAGAACCAACATGAAGTAATATAATGAAGCATTCACTGATTTAGAGTGTAGTTTAAGGGCGCAGGAATTTTGTAAATAGTTATACATTACTTAAAAATCAAAAGGGTAGTCTGCTCTGTTAGACTTTAACAACAGGTTGCCACAGCCCAGGGAGAGTTCAAGGTATCCAGAACGTATTTACCTGCCCTGGCTATACACAGGTGGCCTGAGGAGGGAGGGGTTAGGACTGCCAGTGCATGTGGACTCCAGGCTTCTGGCTGTGTTCATGAACATGGACAAAAGTGGGCAAGAGTAGGCAGCACCACCAGGTCCCCGGCTGGGGAGAAACTACAGAACAGATGAGCCTCCTCCTGACATAGGGTATGCATGTCCCCATGTGGATGGGGAATAAAACTGAGAGCTCATTGTCCCCATGATAACAGGGAGGGTAGTGCCTTCTGCCTG